CAGCATGGGAGTTGAAGTCCACTCATCTTAAAGTGGCCAAGTTTGGACAACACTGACCTAATTAAAATATATATATTTGCCCTTTATTTAAACAGAGAGAGAGAGAGATAAACCTTTGGCCATGGAAATGAAGTTTTGCGATGCAATTTAGGGCAGAATGTGTAGGGCCTGTCCCTTAACATGTTATGTAAACATAACCAATTGTGATTTACTTAACAAACTATAATTAAGCAAACCATGGCTTAATGGCATCTATGAACCAGAACTCATTTGGATAAGCTGAAATCACAACGCTCTAACAGAATTACACATCATATGTAGTCTGTGTCTTAGTTTACACAAGATGCAAACCCATTATGCAGCTTGTTAACTTTTGGCTTTGTCTGATGTGCAAGCCCAACCCAAGAAAGAAACCATGATTTATGTTTGCCAACAAGCCAACATCTGAAACCATGTTTTTTTTTTTTGTTTTGTTTTCAAGTCTCAAATTGTTCAAATCATAACTTAGCATTATGTCTCAAGCCACAATCTTGCATTATTCCTGATTTATTTATTGTGCTCTGCCTACTTCTTGCAAAGAAGATGAAAACAAAGAAGCCAGGAGCTGTTTAAACAAACAATGAATACATTTAAGCCTGACAAGCCATGGTTAAAACAAAAACCCGGTTTAGACTGATGTAGAAATACATCCATATCTGATGTGTAACTAGCAAACTGGGATGTTATTTTTTTGCCCACTCTGGATTTCTATAATGAACTAAGAAACCTTGATTATAATCCTTGTTTTTGTCATTGAATCTGGGGAAGGGTTCTAAAGAGTGGAAAATAGAAACAGGCAAATAATTTCCAACCCTGGCTCATCTGTGTCTTTTGGAAGGTCAAACCTTAGTTTAGATTCTATGGAAACTATGGATAGTACAAGGCACAAAATGGTGTGATGTTTGAATCTGGCCCTCGTCCATTTGAGAGAGTAGAATAAAGGTAGGACATACGTAAGTTCTAACTGACTTTGTTGCCAGATGGTCTAGCTGTAGTAGAAGCACGAAAAGAAAAATAAATCAAAGAAAGAATAATTCAAAGTGTTTTTTTTCAAGGTGCAACTTACATTAAGCTGATCGCGGGTGGCAGCATTGGGTTTAAGATCGCGATCGGAAGGGCCACTTCTCAAACTCCTTGCCAGCTTGTGATGTTTACTTTCCACCAAGTTTTCCTTTCAAAATAACAATGCAAAGCAAAACATGTTTTAAATCAGTTGCAATTACATATGTACAATATTCTCTGCTCTGAACTGATACAGTTTGAGCAGAAGCAGAATTTTATGCAACGCCCTGACCAAACTAACTCTGATGCATCAACAGTTCAGGCACGTGCACTTCCAGGGCCTGGGGACAAAAAGTCAAGATGGTGGCTCTGCATATAAAGGAGCAGAGTTTTGATCATATGAGTATAGCTGCCATCTTGACTTTTCTGCCCCATCCCCATCCCCCCCCCAAATACAAATGGTTTTGAGCTCAGCATCCACTTATTTGGACTGTACGCAAGTACCCAAACTGAGCAAAGACCTTTTTCACAGCCTATCACTTACTCCTTTTGTTTTGCAGCTTAGCCAGTTGACTTTTATTCTAGAAAACATGGATAAACAAACAACGGCTTAATCCAATGGATGAACCCAGCCAGTATGTTTTCTAACAATGAAATAAACCCCCCTCCTTGCTCTTCCATCCTACAGAACAACCTGTCATTTGCAAGACGTCCACGTTCTCCCAAACTTCTCTGGATATGTTTGATATGGTCTGATATTCTGGAGTTTATACTCCGATCCAACCTAACACCCAACCAGGATTGGTAACTACACCTTAAAAAGTTAACATATGGGAAGGCAGGCAGGCAGGCCAGCCCATAGTGGCCAAGAAATATCGAATTAAAGGATGGGCAGGACAGAGATCTATCTTCCCCTATCCTATATCCCCCCGTGCCCTCCACATTGTTTCTGCGTACTTTTTTAACCCATAGAATACTCTTGAAAATAACAATATCAGAATAATGTCTAACTATAACAATAAATAAAGGTGTCTAATGATGATGGTTAGCCAAAAGGAATAACATTTGGAAAAGGAAAGAGTGCTGTGGATATGGAAGAAGGAGAAGGAGATAGCACTTTATAATTTTTGATGAAACCATAATCTTCTCACCACCCCCCAGCTTCCTTTATCTGTCACTTTTGTTGCTGATGATTTTGTTGGCCCCGAGACTGTTTGAAATGTAAGCCATCTTCAGCTTTGGAAGTCCTGTTTATAAATTGGCAGGCCCAGAGACTCACAAACAGATATTTCTTCCTGGGCATGCAATTAACCTTTGTACTCAAACATACTTACCATAGACATCTGGGGATCTGGAACCTTAACAATCTCTGAGCTTGTGAAAATTGGAGATGCCTCATCACCATCCTAGGTTAGAAAGCCATAGAAAAGTGCGTTAAATCAGCATATAAAGTAGTCAATGCTATTTAACAGGTTCCAGAAAGAAGACTACTAACTCAGTTGTTAAGTTGTGCTGTCTTTCTAAGATAACAATTCAGCTTTGCGGGAAAATACACAGCCAGACTGAGCTGTGAATCAGGAAATCATGGTTTAATTCTCACTTCTCCAGGCTTCGGCAAGCCCTTCCTTGTCCCCCCCAACCCCCATAGAGGTATTTTGGGAATAACTTTATCACCTGGATTCACATGGTATATTAAGCCATACCATGATTTGTTTGGCTTGAGCTTAGACAATTGTGTGAATTCAGCTATTATGGTTTATTCAATAAACCACCATAAAAAATACACAGTTGAGTTTATTGCATAAACAAGATCCACTGACCTTCTTTAAAGTTTATTGCAAGATTGCAACTGAGTAATGCACACAAAATGTTTTCGATGCCTGAGAAAACTGTATTTTGAACCAACCAAAAGGAGTTCTAATGATATTCTGCATCCAGGTTCTCTTTAATAAAATAAAATTAGCAGATTCTTGGACTTGGGTAGATTCATCCACCACCAAAACATCTGCAAGAACAGCCACTGATATGTCTCATGGCATTATCCACACGCCCACAGAAAATCTGGGGCCGCATATCATGGTGAACTATAATACAGTTTGCTGGGGTGTGTTGAATATGTTGGGTAAACCCAACCTCTGTGATCTATTAACCATGGTTTATAGTTTCCTGCTATACATGATAAAGCACAGTCTCTGAAGGAACGCTCCTTATTGTATGTTCTTGGTCCAAATCATCTTTGGAAGCCTACTCTAGAAGACCTGCCAGGCTAAGGAACAGCTAGTGACTCTCTAGGAGTGGGACTTTTAAGTAGCAATTCCAATTTGGAAATGCCCTGCCCAGTAAGAAATACCAGGCATTGTTTTCATTGTTTTTTCAGTCCCAGGCCTTTTAATTCCCCATGCGGGCTGGGGAATTCTGGGAGTTGAAGTCCACACATCTTTAAGGGGCTGAGGTTGACTTCAATTCCCAAAATGTATATGCTGTATTGGTATGTTTATCTTCCTTAATAGTGCTTCTATTCTCTATTTCATGGTTTTTATTGTCTGTCTTATTGTTCATTTTCTCTTACATGCTTTATATAACATTTTAGTCAATGCTTCAGATCAGCTTCCTTTCACTTACTGTTAAATTATTCTGATTATTAGGGCTCATGTAACTTTGGAGTATCTCATGTCACTAAACCAGTGTTTCTCAACCTTGGCGACTTGAAGACGTG